AAGACAGGATTTATAGTCCTCTATCCTTTCCTGCAACACACGGTAGCATTGTTAGGATGATAAACAGCTCTGTCCAATTTTCTGGACTAAAACACTTCAACTCCTTTTTTAACTGTCTGTAAAAACAGTGTCATGTCTAAATTCTCCCATCCCCAGATACCCAAGTGCTAGGAAAGATAATTACCTTGTCATCTCTGTCATCCTCTTCTTCCTCGTCCTCTAGCATGTCCTCCACTACCTGCAGACAGAAACAGTAGTAGTTGTCATGATTTAAAAAGGAAGAGTTTTGTTCTGTCAATTCTAAACCTTTTGTAGATGAAAACTTTATTAACATTTGAAATAAATGCACAGAAGGAAAATGTACAAGTAGGAAAAAACAGTTGATCTACAGATTCAAATTTAGGAAAATGTTATAGCTTTAATTGACCTACATTAGGGAATTATATACTGAAAACCCTCCCCGTACAAAATGCTTGCTTGACAATTTAAGTATTTAAAAGGTAGCTCAAAATCCAATATACGATTGTTTAAACTAAAGGAATCCTTTGTTAGTTCCACTGGTGCCTATGCAGCACACACAAATGTTTGCTTTAAATTTACTGTTACCTACAGAAATGTGGAACATTTTTCATAAAATTTACAGCATTCACCAAGATATTTTTGAAGAATACAAAGCTGGGAATAAATTCATACTAGCTTATCTCCTTATGATCTACAACAATGATATACACCATATGCTCTATCAGCATTAGCACTGTGTTTCTTAATAGTGATTTTATACAATCTGTGCATCTAACTTTATGCACATTCATTGCTGGCTGTGGATGCCACACGTCTACATCTATGTATTTTTCCATTTAAAAGGTCTTTTCAGTCTAACACTATGAAATATATACATACATTCAATTCATTTTGCAAATATTAGTAATTAGTAATCACACCATAAGCATGAAATGAACCACTATTAACTTTAGTTTATAGACAGATTAAATGATTTTCCGAAGATGGTCACTCACAGATTCATACTTAAAACTCACAAATGCCTCTCTCATAACTCTGTGATCAAGTTTTCAGCTTACCCTACAGGGAGAATTCTCTGTTGGTGGAATTGAAATGAAGTTGTATGTCCTTACAACCAGAAAGTAATGTGGCTCTTTATATCATTATTTATACGTAAGTACTTATTTGCATGTAAGAGTAGCCATAATGAAGGTCAGCAAAGGTCCACCTAGCCCATTATCATATTATGGATGCGAAAGGCGTATACTACGTATTATAAAACATGCATAAAAAGGACAAGAGAAGGAAAACCTGATTGACATGAAATGTTAATACTTTGGTCTATTTTACAGACTTGCCACCAACTAAAATGATGGTTTACTTTGTTATACAGGTGAAGCTACAAACGGTTTTAGTGTACTAGTCATTTAAGACAACACGTTAAAACTATAACTTCATCATCATCCCCCCACCAAATACAGCTGCAAGGATATTCTCATCAAGTCCAAATCCACTATCCAAGAGCCAAATTCAGGAAAGAGAAGAACGTAAAAACGAAAAGTGTGTGTATCAGATGCCTTTCTCTGAGTTAGCTCAACCATCGAGAAGATCCCAGTTAATCACGTTACACAGGCCCATGGAAAACCTAAACAACACACAGCTTGATTTAACATGCACATCTAGTAGAGCACTCTGCATCCTTGTATGTCAACTGCACTGTTCAAGACCTTTGCAATTTCAGCTGCTCATCCTCGTTTGAACCCAGTCCCAAAACACCTCTAACACCAAGGTTGGGACTTTGGTAGGGAAGGAGCCTCCAACTCTGTCTACTGGCTGCTCTGTCCTGGAACTTAGACTCAAATGAAAAACTAGAAACACAAAGAAACAGTAAAGAGTGAGCATGTCCAAAAGCATAAGGAAGAAGGATGACCTGAGCAACTGAGGAACAATTACTCTTGAATTCTTTCCTGCACAGAAGAACAATTTTAGCAGGAGGAGCCCGACTGACAGAACCTCCTGCAGCCTCCGACCTGATGCCAGACAGGCAGATCTATTTGTGAGTCCACTCAGGCTAGAGAAGGAACCAAGGCCGTGCTCTAGAAGAAGCCTCCCTCACCAGTTTCTCCTGTTTCCCTTTCAGGCCATCTCCGCTCCATTTCTTACAGGAAGGGGATCAGAGACAGTGCCCAAGGAGTCTGGGATGGTCACACCTCTCAGCCCTGGGAGAAGGAAATGTTGACAGCATGTTGCTGAAGTGCTTGTCAGCTCCTGCTTAGCTCAGTACACCATTTTATGCATCTCATTTGGAGGTGTCTGAGAGGTCATGTCTTCACAGACCTCTCTGCGGAGGCAAAGACATTTTCAGCTTCCCATGCACCTGCATCACCTCCTTGTTCCTCTCCTCTCCTGGTAGCTCACTGTCATCTCCCCCAGGCTCTTCCAAGTATTTGGGCAGCTGAGCTGTAAACTACATCACTGGATTGATCAAGTTCTTAGAAAAAACCCCCCACCCTAAAACTTTTAATGCAGATGGTTTCAACGACCCAGTTCACTGAGCAGCTCCAGAAACACTAGCATCAGCTCTACCAAATAAATGGTGAACTGAGAAGAGAGAAGGAAAACAGGTTAACAAGGGCTGCAGCAAGATGGAAACCCTCTGAAATCAGTTTTGCCACACGCAAAAAAGTCTGTAATTACATCATTAGGTGACTAAAGCCCAAGGTATAAAACTGAATCTGTTGACTCAGATCCTGCCTACGCCTGGAGCTGACTAAACTCACTAGGTCTCTTTTCAACATTAATATTCCTCAGACACTTAAAGATCTCTTTTATATATATCCAGAAACCCCTTGTCTTAACAGGACCGAACAGGAGAATGCCTATCTCACATTAGTGCCAAAGTTAGCAAGGAGACAATTAGTTGAATTGGAAAGCTCTAAAATTGTTGCAAATGATGGCACCTCACTGAAATCACTTGCATGACAATATCCATTCTAAATTATCGGGATAATAACACTTCAAACTCAGATTTTTTTTCTTCTCCATCTAATGATCTCAAACTACTTTACAAGCTTCTATAGAGTGACAAAATGTTAACTTGCTCAAAGGACACAAAAAGTCCTTTGAAATCACCTGAAGCCCAGGACTGAGCCCAGATTTCTAGCTCCTCCATTCCATTTTTTAATTCAAAAGCCACTACCAGTCTATGCTCCTGTTCTAGGTTAGTCATATCGTCAATTACATTGAGCTTTGGTGTACTGAATTGTCTGGAAAGGAAAACAGAATTCAATTACTGTAGTAAAATAAAATGTAGTAGAAGTGTTCCTATGCCTATGATGCATAAATGATTCTTTAAAGTATATGAAACATAGCCCATGCTTTCACTTGCCTCAAAATTCAAAAGGAAGAGTTAAAAGAAAAAAAAATAAAAAGAACATTTGGACAATACAGACACAATATTACAATTTATTAAACCACTAAAACAAGTGTTTTCAGAACTTTGACACAAATTAAAACAAGGAAAGTAGATTCTTCATAATCATATGATATATGAAGAATTGGTATGCTGAAGCCTTACAAAAGCCGTATACTGAAGTACCATCTATTTCTGCAGAACAAAGCCAGGCTGTTCAAGAGAGGTACAGTGGATATGAGCAACAGATTTCAGTTTAACATTGGAGTAAGAATACTGTAGGAAAAAAATCCACAATGGAATTTTTCCTCCTTTGATTCTGCCTCGTTGCTATTCAAATAAAGTGCACATGTGCTGCTTTGGTTTGAAGGAACACAGTAGTTATTCGGATCTCTCTGTCAAGTATTGTACCTGGGGGAGGTATGATGGCTGGAGGGAGGAGACGGGGAAGGAGGGAGAGCAGCGAGAGGGAGGACAGGAAAAAGCATATGAAGATAAAATGAAACATTAGAGTTATTTTATTGAAAGTTCTATGGCAAAAATCTTAGATTGCCCCTAGAATACTCACTCTAAATTATGCCTTCCGATACCTCGCTTGAAATCAAGCAGTATTAATCAAACAAAGGAAGGGCACTGGGGAAATCAGAAAGATCTAATGCAAGCAGTTAAAAGTGACATGACCTTCTGTAATGTCACTTGTCACAGACTTACATGCTGCATACCGGTAGAAGGTCTTGAAAGAACCTGTTTCTTGGTCTTGTCCCTTGAATATAATACTAATACAGATGACATTTTAAAAAACACGTGTCGACGGCCTCAAATATGGCATGTCAGCTACTTCATGGCCAAACAGTAAGCAGATGATGTTTAAATGCTGCAAAGTAAGATCCCTCTTAAAAGCTTATTAATCTGAAGGAGCATGCAGTCTAATTCCAACGTACTACCATTGTTCCTGATCCATTCCCACCCTCTTTAAGGAACTCGATCTACAAACACTGTGCGATTCGTAACCCACAGGGGGTCGGAGGAGGCTCTGTTCCGCGGTGGCAGTAGCGGCGTGCAGCTCCGTGACGCCAGGTTACCCGAAGGAAGCCCAACCACCACGTTTGCACGTCGAGGAAAACGCCAGTCCTTGTGGCCTAGAACACGGTCTTCTGAGGAAGCTGACAATTAAGTACAACTTGCATTGATTCTAAAGATGATCTATTGACTGAGAAGCAGGATAGATTTCTGAGACAATAATTCATTTTGACTTCTAACTTCAACAACTGTGAAGTATCGTTGGATTCTAGTTATTTATAAGCACGTTCAACCAAAACCCATGATTTTAAAGAACTTTAAAATATCTCCTGCATTGAAAGACTCTGTGAAAAAAGGCAGTTTGAAACCTAGCACCACTTTTAATGAAAGGGCTGTCTCTCTTAGTTTGAGCAGGCTGTTTCTCATACAACACGTGCAAACCACAGGTCACTCTATGCAGTCTTCTGTTCTAAGTTCTTCGGCTGATCCAACAGAAACACCTGCACGGAAGATACTTTGATGTTTTTCCATGTTAACCGTACCAGATATGTGCCCTGCACTAATATGCAAAATAAAGAAAAAATAAAAGGAGAGGCACTACCAGATTGCAGATAACCCTGATGACTGTTACCTTAATGTTCTTCTTTAATGTGAAGCAACGCACCCCACTTCCCATGAGCACTCCTCTAGATTTGCTTATATCTTACTTGATGTAGTTCTTCAAACATAGGAGGTTGCAAATGAAAAACAAAAGAAAACACTTTCTATGCTAATTCATGTGTTACGGTGTCAAAATATCTGCAGAT